TCATCAGTTTTGCTGATATTTTCCTTAAAAATATATTTTTTTGGCTAAATAAGATGACCTTGTGGTAAGTAGAGGGAGGAGAGAGATTCAGGGGGAAATACTGGTGATAAAAAAGATATCAATACAATTTATCTAAAAAATAAGTGTTTGATGAATTAAACTGAATTGAATTGAAAAGTCAAAAATGGTATTAGGATTTTGGCCCCATGAGACAGGGAGAATAGTGAGGCCACAGCCTGAAATGATAAAGTAGAAGAAGAAGTATGGTTAGGGAGAAAGAAAACAATCCTAGTTATGAACATGCTGAATTTAGGATCTTAGTGGGACAACCGGCATGAAATGTCTTTGGGCAGAAGCTCAGAATACAAGGCATGCCTAGAAATAGAGATTTGGGAGCCATCTGCAAAGCAGTAATTGCTGTACCTATGGACATAGATAAGATTGTCAAGGGAGAGAGCTCAGAGAAAGAAGAAATCCTTGGAGAGATGAAGGAACATCTGTTGGTTGGAAGGGGTTGGAAAGAGGACAAAGAGCAAGCAGGCTCAAGAAAAAGAGAAGGAATGTTCAGAGATGTTACAGGAGAACTAGGAGAGTGTGGCGCCTCTGAAGCTGAAGCAAGAAAGGTCATCTAACAGGAAGGGGTACATCAGCAGCATCCAATGCAACAACATTGTGGACTGAGAAAAAGACCATTGAATTTGGTGATTAGGAGGTTATTGGCAATCTTTAAGAAGACAACTTCTGTTGAAGGTGTGGGGGAAGCTAGATTGTAAGAGACTGAGAATGAATGTGTAGGGAAGAATTAGAAAAGTGTGGTATAAACACCATTCTAAATAAGTTTAGCAGTGAATTGGAGAAGAGAGGCAGCCAGATGGGATCAAGAGGAGACTTTTTCAGATTGGGAAGAGCTTGAAATTTGGAGGATGAGGGCATGGGGTAAATGGGGATAGATGCTGAAGATACCTGAAGGAAAGGGGATTTTTTTTTCTGCAAGTTTGATTCTATATTTAGATGGTAATGTGGTGTGTCAGTGATGTATAGCAGACACATTCCCTGGTGCATCCTTCAGGGTGTTTGCTGAAGGGAAAGTTGCTCAGCAGAGAAGGCTATACCCAGAAACATCAACTAGCAGAATCACAGAGTGGCTCCTCTATTGTAATCCTCTCCATAACTGAGGAGGAATTCTCTCTCTACCTTCGTAAGTGACTAACTAGTTTCTACATAAAGATCTTTAGTGTTTAGGAAGCTATCAAAGCAGCCCATTTCCTTTTGGGACAGCTCTAATTATTAACCCCTTCCCTCTCCAATATTGAACGGGAAATTTGTCTTTCTGTAGCAACTACCCAGTGTTCTGCCCCCCCAGGCCAAGCTGAACAGGTCTCTTCCACATCATATGCCTTTAAATACTTGAAGAGAGCTATTATATCCTGTTAAGTCTTTTATTCTCTAGACATCTGCAGTTCCTTCAAAGGATTCTTATGTGATTTTTTTAGTCCTAAGTAGGATTGATTGGTAAACATCCTTTGTCTTCTGTCAATCTGAATCTTAGGAGTCTCCACAATTTGGATCTAGCATACCTTTCTAGACTTATCTTACATGATTTCCCTTCTCTCTCTGCATTTCAGGGCTAATAGCTATTTCTTGTACTTAACACTCCATGATATCACTGGAGCCATCTCTTCTACTCAGGGGTGTTCTGATAACTATTTAACAACTGGCTTTCTTAAAACACAGCTTCTTGGTTCAGTTGTGTCTGACTCATCATGAGCCTGTGTGGGTTTTTCTTGGTAAAGATACTGGAGTGGTTTGCCATTTTCATCTGCAGCTCATTTAACAATTGAGGGAATAAGGCACATGGGTTAAGTGACTTACCCAGGGTCACACAGCTAGTAAGTGAGGCCATATTTGAACTCAGGTTTTCCTGACTCCAAGCATGGTGCTCTATCCACTGCGCCAGCTACCTCCCCTATCTCCTAAAACATAGGACACACTTTTAAGTTTAATGTACATTATTAACATTTTCTCCATCAGTTTTTAAAGTCTAGACAATCAACAAAACAATGAATCATGTCCTGATTTGTAATAATTGCCTCCAAAGTTTAAATGTTCACACTGAAAATTTAACAATTGGCTCTGGGTAGCAAGTTTACTAGCTGGCTCCAGCAATCCCCTTCCTTGGAATAGACTCCTTTCTTACCTCTGAATCTTTTTCCTTTAAGGCTTAGCTCAGTTCTCCCCTCCTCTTCTCTCCTCTATTATTCTCCCCTCCCCTTGTCTCCCCTCCTCTCCTCTCTTCTCCTCTCCTCTCTCTCTTTTCCCTCTCCTCTCCCTCTCTCATTTCCCCCCTCCAACCTCCATGGAGCTTTCTTTGATTTTTCCAGTTAGTGCTTTCTCCCTCATAAATTACCTTGCATTCATTTCTTTCTGTGTTTATTAGATCTCTCAAGTACAATATAACCCCCTCCCCGCTTTTGGTGTTTGTAACCTTGCACCTAGCGCAATGACGCATACATAATAAAGAATTTGCACAATGCCTGGCACGTAGTAGGCACTTAATAAATGTTTATTGAATTGAATTGAGTGAGTTTTGTTGAATGGTGACTTGAACCATTGATTTTTTTCAGCCCACAGGATATTACCAGACCTGATTATAATATCTTAATGTAGTCTGACCAGGGCAGAGTGCAACCACATGCTTGGTATTGTATTTGTATGGTGTAATCATCAAAAGTCTGGATGAAGTCAGGAGAGACCTGAGTTTAATATCTGCCTCCTACACTGTCTAGTTTACTGTATGTGACCATAGTCAAGTCATATAAACCTCTCTGCCTCACCTGTAAAATAGGGATAATAATACCAGTAGTACTCAAGTTCAGATGAGATAATGCATGTAATAGACTCATGTAAATATTATCTATTTTTTATTTTTATTTTTAACAATGCAGCCTAAGATCACAGGATTTTGGACACCTTGTCTCACTTTTGATTTATTGAGCTTGCTGTCACCAAAACCCCACCAAACTTTTTCAAAAGCCTTTTGTTCTGCAACATTCTATACTTTGACCTTTGAGCTTCAAAACCAAGTAGGGATTTTGCATTTATCCTTATCATATTTCATCTTGCTGTCTTAGCTTGACAGTATCTTTTTGGATACTGATTCTGTTGTATAATTTGTTGGCTATCTCTTCTGGTTTTGTTTCATCTGAAAATTTGATCAGGCTCTCTATGACTTCATCTAAATGACTGACAAAAATGCCACTTAGTCCATTCCCATTTTACCTATTTGTATTATCATCCAATTTATATCTCTGTAAATGCTCCACAAGGATATTAGGAAAGTATTTTGCAAGGAATTTGCTACAATTTAGGTATGCTATGTCTATGGCTTTTACCTGATCAACTAAGCTAGTAACTTTGTCAAAAAAGGAATTCAGGCTAGTCAGACATGACTTGTTCTTAAAGTAACCATAATGTCTCTTAGAGATGACTGCTTCTCTGCCAAAATGCACGTAAGCCATCCTTTTATTTATCTATTTTCAATTGATGTCTTTTTGGTTTTTTACTAGTTATTTGCCAGAACACACACACACACACACACACACACACACACACACACACACACACACACACCCAAAGACCTCTCTGTCTTGTAACAAAAAAAACAGTTAAGCCTGACCAATAGACACAGTAGCTGTATCTGACAGCACATGCAATATCCTGAATCTCTAGACCCCTGCCTTTCAACAGAGAAAAAGGATTTATGTTTTATCTCTTATCAACTTATTATAATTAGAGTTTGGTAGTTTTTAATGTTTTCAGATTGACTGGTTGACTTAAACTGTTAGAGTGCTTTTAATATTTTCATTTCTATTATTGCAAATGGGTATGTTATTTTCCCAGTTCTGTTTATTTATTTTGCATCTGTTCATGTAAGTCTTTCCATATTTCTCCTAATTCCTCATCTTCATTATTTTTCATGACACAGTGTAGTTCATTGTATTCATGTACCACAGTTTATCGAGCATTTACTCAATTTTTGCGTGTCAGTATTTTGATTGATGTTTTTCCAGTATTTGGCTGCCAAAACTATGGATATGAGTATTTTTGTACAATGCATATGTACATATTTCACATGCATGAAATATAGGTACATATATCTATATATTTATATCAAATCTATCTCTGTTTTTGTCTATCTATTGTATGGCTAACTACATGAAATACTTATGGAAGAGTAGAAAAGAAACATTAACCTACTGTGAACTGATGACACCTCTTGGTTTCCCCATTTTCTTTCAAGACTCAGTTCGAATTCCACTTTCTGCAAGATGCCTTTCCTGCTTCCCCATACTGCTAGTGCCTTTCCCCTGAGACCATCTCCCATTTACACTGTATATATATATTGTGTGTTCATAATTGTTTTGTATGTGAGCAAACATTAGAATGTACGTTTTTGCCTCTCTTTGCATTCCTATTGCCTAGTACAGTGCCTGACACATGGTAGGCACTTAATAAATGTTTATTGGGTGACTGCCTGGGCAATCCTGGCCTCAGTTGAAAGGAGGTAGGCCCCCTTTTCTCATCTTCTTTGGTTTGTTATGTTCCTCACCTCAAAGCCCCAGAAAAAAATTATTTAAGGCTTAGGATTTGGCTCGTGGCAGGATTTCCTCATAGGGGCAGGGTGAAGAGTAGAAGACACTCAGTGTATATATAGTATGAATCAGGAATTCAAAAGAAATGCTAAACATAAAATATTCACAGGAGGTCATTGACAGAAAGACACACAACAGGATTCAATAACCGAACTTATAACCATTGTTACACTCTGCTCAGGTTGCTGATACTTAAACCCCAGCAGAAAGTAAAGTAGGACTGCTAAATAAGCATAATGTCATTACACCTCAGCTCTATGCTCTCACCTTAAAATCCATGTCTGTTAGCTAGCCAGATCAGGGCTTGAGTTCGTTCTCTTTTCAATTGTCATTTCCAGTGCAGAAACACCTCCCTGCCCCAAGTAGTTCCATTGGATATCTCAGAATCAAACGTGGATCATCATGAAATTGGGGTTCAGTCATCTGCAAAGGGGGAAAGCCAAAGCTCTTGATCCAGTCTCAGGCTTGCCCAGGTGAGACACATTGTTTAGCTTTTCATGTACTCATGGCTAGGGGTGTTTGGGTTGGAGAAAAGATTGGAGCTTCCCTTCCTCCCATTTCTCATGAGATGGGGCTTGGAAGGTCTTGTTAGGAGTTTTGGATGCTCAAGGAACTCTGAGAATGGCCAGTTTTTCCAAGTGTGTTCTGCCTGTGTTACATTACCTGCAGTTGTCATTGTTTAAGAATACTGAAACCCAGAAATAGCTGAGGTTAATGATGAATGCCAAGGGTAACATAAAAGAATTCTTTTAGTTTTGCTGGAGGCAAAGTGGAAGATGAAAGAAGAGATAGAAACACTGCTTAGGACAGATGAGATGAGGATGAAATGACAGAAAGAATGAAGAACTAGCTACCCAACTTCTCTTTTGCTTCTGTTTTCTCTGTCAGGGAGAATGATTTTCAGTCTATAGAAGATGGTACAAAAATGATTAACAAGGAATTGAAACAACCTAAAACAACTGAAGAATCTTTAAGAGCATTCAGGTAATGACACAACTCTACTAGTGCATAAACTTTGCAAAGTTTCAAAGAAGGAAATTTCCAAAAGAACGGAAAAGCTTCCACCCAATACAAATGACAAGGAAGGCATCTCTTGGTGAGAATGCTCTATTGCAAATGATGAAAATTTAATAATGCAAGAGGCAATCTTACATGGATGATTTTCTACAATAGACCCCATCTTTGTAGTCTTTAAAACTTTTCTGAAGTTTTGAAAATATAATCTCTTTAAATATTTATTGATTTAAAAAATAATTTGAGTAGAATAAAATCTAGCTTTGTGGTCTCTCAAAGTTAACATATATTAAAATTAGATTAAGAATCTCTAATAAATGTGACTACATAGGCAACTTTGTTCAGGGATTTGCTGAGTATAAACTTCGAGTGTAAAAAATAGAAATAAATACAGCATAGAGTTATACGTTTGTCTAAAGTATTCACCAGCATCACATGAGATGTACTGCACATAGTCCAAACAAAAGAAGTATTCCTTATTGATAGGGATGTGCCTTACATGCCCCATAATCCCAGAAGATATAATGAATCCATTGAGCCCTGGAACATCTTACTGCTTCCTTGATGAAATCCACAGCAATGCAAGAGATTGATTATGTTCTTGATCCACAAGGTGGATGAAAAATGTATGTTGTCTAGACTGTAGCACTTATTCAGTGCTTGCTGCAACAGTAGTCTATCCTTTAACAATATTCTCGTGTTAATATCTTCTATGTGTTAGCAAATTATGAACTGTACAAATCTAGGAAGACTCAAAATTAAAGGAACCAGAAATGCAGTGAAAAAATACAAGGTGAGTATGACTTACCTGCAACATGTCTTATGTGTAAGAAGTGGAATAGGGGCAGCTAGGGGGTACAGTGGATAAATTGCTGATCTTGGAGTCGGAAAGACTCATCTTTCTAAGTTCAAATCTGACCTTAGATACTTAACTAGTTGTGTGACTGTGGGCAAGTTACTTAATTCTGTTTGCCTCAATTCCCTCATCTGTAAGATGAGCTAGAGAAGGAAATGGCAAACCACGCTAATACCTCTGCCAACAGAACCCCAAATGGGGTCATGGAGAGTTGGACACTATTGAAATGACTGGATAACAATAACAACAAAGAAGTGGAATAATAGAAATTATAGAATACATGTATGATTAGAAAATTTAGGTGGTTGGTCATATATTGAGAATGAAAGACACCTTAAATGCCACAGTGGAGGCCCTGAGAGCCTAAAGGCCAGAGGAAGGGCTCTGGTATGTTGGGTAGTTCATTTCTAGAGGATTTATGGAAAAATATGAAATGAGAATCCTATAGCATGAGAAGGTATTGAGACCCTTAGAATCTGTATGGGTGAATGGAGTATCTGTATTAGTGAATTCACAAATCTAGCAGAGTATCAATGTAGACATAGGGATAGAAGGACAAATATGAAAACAGAGGGTAAGAAACCATTCTTGAATAAGTAGTATTATAGCAAAAGAATGAGAAATAGTGGTAGTAAGCAAAGCAAACTATACTGAAGAATGTCACAGATTAAAAAATAGAAGAAGGAAATCTCATTTCATTTTGGTTTTCATTAAAACTTATTATTTGGTGATGTAATGATGAGCTCACTGCTCTGGGCACATTTATAATCAGATCAAGGTAACCAGTACATTGTTCCAGGGCACTAATATTTATTTATTTATTTTAAAAATATATTTTATTTTTCCTCCAATTACATATTAAAATAATTTTTAAACTTTTAAAAAAAAGTTTTAAGTTCCAAATTCTATCCCTCCCTCTCTTCCTCCCCTCCTCCCTTTCTGAGATGGTAAGCAATCAGATATAGGTTATATATGTACAATCATGTAAAACATTTTCATATTAATTATTTTGTGCAGTAAGACTTCAATAAAAGAAAAAGAAAGTGAAAAATAGCATGCTTAAGTCTGTATCCAAACAGATCAGTTCTTTCTCTGGAGGTGGAAAGTATGCTTCATCATTAGTTCTTTGGGATTTTTCTTGGATCATTGTATTGCTGAGAATAGCTAAGTCATTCACAGTTCTTCATTGAACAATATTGCTGTCACTATGTATAATGTTCTCTTGGTTCTGTTCACTTCACTTTGCATCAGTTCATGTAAGTCTTTCCAAGTTTCTCTGAAATCATCAGTGATATTTAGAGATAATAATTTAACACAATTTTTTCTTTAGCAAAAACTCTCAAGTTTATCTGGCACCTAGCAAGAAGAATAATAATTAAAATAGAAATTAGTTAATAGAAATAGCTTGTAGGAATCTAAGAGAAAATCTAATGAGAAATTAATAGAAATCAGTTAAAATATTTTGGTCCTTTATTATTCATGAGTACAATAGTAATAGTTCCTCTGCCCCCTCAACTATGTCTTCCTTACTTCTTAAAGTATTTATTTTCATATCATGAATTACAAAATCAACATGAGAACACATTTTGTGATGTTTACTAGAGACACCAAAATTTCTAGCTATGCATAGACAGTTTCCTTTCAATAACACCAGACTCTTTTGTTGAGTTCTCTGGGAGTCCAAGGTCGGATGTGTTTTGAGGTTAGTATGTATATGTAATAGCTAAGTTTTGCTTATTTTATGAATACTTAGCACACTAAATATTCTGGATAAGTTAAATTTATATTAAAATTATTTGTGCAATTTATTTTATCTGTAATGACATAACATCCAGAATTTTGTGGCATACCCTTAGACAGCCATTACCCTAATAGACCTATGCCTATGATCCTTTAAAATCCTGAAGGTCTGTTAAATGCTTATTGAGTGAGTGATGCCAAGAAAATTAGATAGGCCATGTTTTTTCATTCTGTATGAGCTCTTCTTCCCTGAGTGATCTACCACCCCTTCAAGGCTATGTTTTATTCTACAGAGTATAGGGACAAAAATGGAGGCACCTAATAGATGCATTCTTGTAGAATAGCTGCCATGGAATCCAACACCTCTCAGAAACAGACTGCTCTGTGAGATTGGCTACATGTGTCCTGGTCAGATCACCAGGTTCAAGATTTGACCTTATACTGGTTGGCTTTTATAGGATAGTGGTGTGGGAGTAGAGAAGAATAAAAAGCATTGCTATCTAATTCATGTAATTCTTTAGAAGTGTGTCCATCATTCTTCCCCTCCCTCCATTTCTCCTTTACTCCTCTTTCCTATAATTACATTTTTTGGCTTTTTCACAGCTGGCTTTATTGCATATCATTGCAGCATGTAGCGGAAAGCTGATTGGATTTGGGGTCCAAGTACCTGGCTTTGACTCCCAGGGTTTGCTTACTTCCTGTGTGACCTTGGGCTAATTACTTAAGATCTCTGGATCTTTTTTTTCTCATCTGTAAAATAGGATTAGGGTTGAACAAGTTGTTTTCCAAGGCCCTTTAAAGGTCTGAATATCAAATTAGTAGGTAGTACAACATTGTGTGGCCAAGAGAATGAAGACTTTAGGGGCATGGGTGACACTGTCTTGCCAGTTAAAAGCAGCATCTTCGGAAAATAAAGGGGAATATTAGAAGTGAACAGTTAATTGAAAATATGGCATCTGAAAACAGAACCTGAATTACTAGCTAGAGGAAAGGCAGGCTTGTAGACTTAGGTAAAGTACTTCTAACAAGAACCAGTAATATATATGTGTCTGTAGACTTACATGTTTTATGTAGTGGATTAAGCCATTAATGGAGAAGGAAATAGAAGAGTGGATGCATATATACAAAAAGTCGGCTGTGAAGTGCAACAGGTACACAGAGGAAGAGCAGCGTCAGTGAAAGGACCAGTCAGTGACAGGAGAAATTCTCTAAAAAGTGGAGTATTAATACAATTTTTGTGCCTAGAGGTCTATAAACAAGTATGTATATGCCTAGTTCTTAATACAGTTAAATTTAATCTCAGAAGTATCATCAAGAATTGGACTTGCGACTGGAATATGGGCATCAAAAGAGATACTTTATTTAAAATAACAGGTTAGGTTCTGTATTTGAAACATGATTTGAAACATGGTAGCAACAGACTATCAGCATTGTAGAAGAGGTTCTGGAACTCATCAGGCTCAATTTAGATCATTGGTTCCTAACCTAAGCTCTGTGAACTTGTTTTCTAACATTTTGATATAAGTATTACAATGTAATGGTTTCATTTCACTTAGAATTCTAAGTATTTTATTTTATGCATTTAAAAACATGATTCTGAGAATTAGTCCATATATTTCATCAGTTAATAACTCCTATGTAAAAATGAGAAATGACCTAGAACTTTGAGGCTTAGGATCATCACTTAAATATAATTTCAGAAGATGTGTAAGAGACTGGGCAACTATAGAAATTAATGAAGAGATTTATAAATTGACCACATGGAATATTCCAATGCTTGTTTGTCTGATGTAATGTTTTGTATTACATAAAAAACACATGTTGTATTGGTATCACCTCCACTGAGAATTGGCTGAAATCAAGATTGTATTCTATATAATTAATTGGAGATTCCAGATAATAACTTCTATAAGAAAAGATAATACTAAAGGAGGAACCTGGTGTACTCTTTGCTATTAAGACATAGGCAAGGATTTCTATACCCTTAAAAGGAGTTTATTTCCAGACAAATTCCCAAACTAACTGACATGGCACCCATTTTTACTTTTTTTTGGTATCAAATCTACAAATTAATGCAAGCATCACAATACAGTAATCTTTTTTCAGTGATTTAATTTACTCTCATTTATCTTACAAGCAATTATATTTTAAAAATTAAATGTAAAAATGAACAGTTTAGACATAAAGGGAGATAGAGTCTGATTGTACATCAAGAAGACCTTTTTTTCCCGTAAGAAAATCGACAAATGAAAGGTAGTCAACATAGAAGACTTTATTAGACTTAGTAGAGGCAGAAAGAGAAGCCATATTGTGCTAGGATTATGGCTACTGCCTAAACTAGTCAAAAGAAAGAAATGAATGACAAATTTAGAAAACTTTACAAACCCAGTAGAAATTCACAATAGTGCAGTCACAAAGGCTTCCACCATCCAGACACATGCTCATTCTCCCTGTCTGCTAAAAGCAGAGCACCTGATATATTTTTCATTTGCCTTAATGATAATTTCATTCTTCAAAAGGTGAAGGAAGAAACCTAATTTGGTCAAGTAAGGAAGAACTGGTTACTAAATTCAAAATGATGGGATCCTGGGAGGAAAGAGTCATTCCTCTTTAGACTTCATGATAGATAAGAGAGGAGAGTTAGGCATGATTGGATATGCATCCTTGATTTTCAGAAAGCAAATCTCAAAGAATTCAGAAAAAGAATAGGTGGGATCCCATGGTCTAAAATTTTGTAGGGAAATACGATCCAAGAGGAATAGGATGGTCTTAGGAATGAAATTCTTATAATCCAAACATACAAAATTTCAACAAGGGACAGAAAAGTGAAACGTTTAAGGAAAACAATGCAGGTGAATAAGAAGCTCTTCAACCAACCTGAATTTTAAAATGACATGTACAGAAGCTCTATGGCAAGAGCAGGGTAACTAAGGATAAATGTGAAAGAGTAGCACCATCCTATAAAAACTGTTACCAGGGGTGCTAAAGCTTAGAATGAACTGGGACTGGTGATGGATGCTAAGGGCAACAACATAGAGGTTTGAGACAGTCTTGAAAGCTATGGAGAGACCAAAGAAAGAATGAGGCTATTGCTTGGTGTAGGCATGTTAATGATAATGGGTGACAGAGAGAAGGCAGAGCTACTATACCTACTTGACTTCTGTTTTTCCTACCAAGGAGAGCAGTCTGCAGACAGACAGAAGGATAGAATAAAAATATTTAATGCAGAGTTAAAAATCCAAGATAAGTGATAAGATAGTAAGAGAGCACATAACTCTCTCTATTAAGTTCAAGTTCCTAGGTTCCTAATGATCTGTCTCCTAGGATACTGAAAAAACTGACAGACATGATTTTTGAGCTGCTGTTGATAATAAAATCATTTAAACATTCTACATTTAAATCATGTAGAATGAGAGAGGTGTTACAGGCAAATGTTTCAGTTTTTTAAAAAGGGATAAAGGTAGAATTTTCAAACTATAAACTGGTGGGCTTAACTTCAATTCCTGGCAAAATTCAAGAACATATTATTAAAGGAATGACTTGTCATTCACACAAACAAAATCAATGCAGATAGAATAAAAAAAGAAATGAGTGGGAAGCATTTTTTTTTACTTCAAATATTTCTGATAAAATCCTGATCTCCGTGGTATATGGGAAATTATTATAAATCTATAAGAATAAGAACACATACCAATAATTAAGAGGCCAAAGGATGTGCACAGCTTATAAAAGAATGCAAACTCTTAACAGTTATATGAAAATGCTCCAGATAATCAATAATAAGAGAAATACAAGTTAAAACAATTCTGAGGTTTCACTTAGTAGCACTCAAGTTGGCAAAGAAGATAACAGACAAAAATAATCAATGTTAGAGTGACTGTGGGAAGATAAGCATGCTAATGCACTGTTGGAGGAGCTATGATTTAGTCCAACCTCTTTGGAAATCAATTTGGAATTATGGGAGAGAAATCATTACACTCTTTATACTCTTTGGCCAAGTCATCAGTACTGGTCATGTATATCTAGGAATCCAAATACAGACAGTAAGGTCCCATATATGTAGTATGTATACACATACATACACACATATCTAACTATATAAGAAATATGGGGTTTTTTAGATTTAGATTTTTAATTGTTTTAGGTTTAATACTGTGTGCTCACTATTAAACCTAAGGATAAGTGTTCTAAGTATCCTCATTTTACACATGGGATTCTAGAGGACCAATGATGAAGCATGTTAGCCACCTCCTGACAGAGATGTAGTAGACTCAGGGTTCAGAATGAGACATATATATTTCACTTCCTTCCGCCATGCCATGATGCTTCTTGCTGCAGATATTTCTTACCAGTGTTCTTCTGTCTTGCTAATCATGACTGATTTCTATTCCAATGACTGTGCCTCAGAATGCTAGATGTCCTGTTCCACCCATTTCCCAGTAGCAGTGCCAATTTTTGACATCCACCTAGTTGTCATCAGTGGTTACTCCTTTTAGCAACCTGACCAGCTCTAAAATCCTCTGTTTCCTGTCACCCACAGATAGATATGGACTAATGTTGACCAACTACCATCCACTCCCACCTGCCCCAGAGGGCTTTTTCTCTTTTGGGAATACTAAGAAAAAACAGATTTCCTGCATCTCAGTCCCTAAACTCAGATCCACAGGTAAGTCAATGTGGTCACACTAATGGCCAGTCAAAGAAGCAATGCTTACGAGCATTGTATGGGTGGAGGGCTTTGTTTTACATGGTCTTACATAGGCAACCTAGCTATAGAATCACCTGGAGATGTCATTTCACAATAGCCTTTCCTAGCTGGTTAGTTAAGGAGGGCAAGGTCATAGCTCTAGCATAAGCTAGCATAATCAGATCATATACCCTTGATTTCCTAAGGTTATTCAAGTTTCATTAACCTCATTTTATAGACTGTAGCTTATTTATAGTCCAAAGTGTGGCCTTGGTTGATCTCTTTGAGCATCTGATTTACATATGCAATGGTTTTGTGTGTTAGTAGTCTTACCTGTGTAAATAAAGAATGGTATAATAATAATAGATTGCATTTAAGTAGCAGTTTAAGTTTTGCAAAGTGCTTTACAAGTATCATCTCATTTGATCCTTACAACAACCCTTTCAGGTAATTGTTATTATTCTCCATTTTATAAATGAGGAAACTAGGACTGAGAAATTAAATGACTTGCTCACATAATTGGTGAAATTCTAAGTTGGGATTTGAACTGAGATCTTTGTGACTCCAAATTTGGCAAGCTCTTCTTACTCATTGTGTATGCTACTTAACTGCCTCAATGAGGGTAGTGAACTAAGGCATGGAATTTTGGGGAGCAGAGGTGATTAAGAAACTTCCTCTTACTCCCCATTATTCTGTACTCACGGAAGGTGGACTTGAATGAATTCTGTATGAGAGCACTAGAGAATCTTCTTCCTCATTTTTTTTTTGGCTAGGCAATGAGGTTAAGTGACTTGCCCAAAGTCACACAGCTAGTGTGTGTTAAGTGTCTGAGGCTGGATTTGAACTCAGGTCCTCCTGACTCTAGCTAGGGCCAGTGCTCTATCCATTGCACCACCTAGCTGTCCTTGAATCTTCTTCCTCATTATGTGTGGAAGCAAGCAGGGTGATTGTGGAAAGGCCACATTTCCTCTCACTCTTATTTGAGTGTTTTCTCTGTTTTTATGAGTGGTTTTGGTTGATATTGTAGGGTCACATCTCTGGCTATATTCCTTCTAGGAGACTGGCATCATGGTAGTGTCACCAGTGTTTTTTATCTAGGAATGCAGAAGTGATTGATAAAGAGACCTAGGCTAACATTATCCACAAAAGGAAATCTGCCAGTGATGAAAAAGTGCCCATAGGCTTGGTTGCCTGGTGCCAAAGACCCCTGGCATTTCCAGAGGCTCAGAAATTTCTGGTTAGTGTTAGGCACTGGAATGGTCTGCCCTTCCTTCCTTTCCTTCCTTCCTTCCTTCCTTCCTTCCTTCCTCCTCCTTCCTTCCTTCCTTCCTTCCTTCCTTCCTTCCTTCCTTCCTTCCTTCCTCCTTTCCTTCCTTCCTTTCCTTCCTTCCTTCCTTCCTTTCCTTCCTTCCTTCCTTCCTTTTCCTTCCTTCCTTCCTTCCTTTCCTTTCCTTTCCTTCCTTCCTTCCTTCCTTCCTTCCTCCTTCCTTCTTCCTTCCTTCCTTCCTTCCTTCCTTCCTTCCTTCCTTCCTTCCTTCCTTCCTTCCTTCCTTCCTTCCTTCCTTCCTTCCTTCCTTCCTTCCTCTTCTTCTGTTCCTCCCTTCCTCTCCTGTACCTCTTTCCTCACCTTTCCTCTCTCTGTCTCTCTGTCTCTCTCTCTCTCTGTCTCTCTCTCTTATTGCTGATCAACATGAAAACTATGACCTGCTCCTTTTCTGACTTCAGTTGGTACCCATTCATCTTTAGCCTGACCAGCTCAGAGTCTCATCCTCAAGGGATCCTCTAACCTCAGCCTCTGTTAATAATAGAGATTACAGGTGTGTATCACCACTCTCAGCCCTACTGATGGTTTAAAAGATAGGCTCTTCAGTCATAGCACATGGACTGAGCTTCAGTGCTCCCTGCCTCCCTTCCCTGTCATTTTTCTGATAAGGTAAACTTTTGGACCTTGGGCTTGTCTCCAAAAAAAGAAAGAATGAAAAGCAACTGATAAAATAACATAATTGTAAGTTAAATAAATATTATTTAGCTATGGTGAGGTCTCTCAAGAAATTTTTTCTTACACTTAACTTAATGATTCATGCTTTTAGCATTTAGGAAGAAAACACATAAATCTGAGATGATATTATCATTACCATCATCATTATTATTGTTATTCTCCCATGGTATATATCCCCTGCCAAATAGTTATAGGAATTCATCATTTTTACAGATGGAATTATATCACTTAGAATCTCCTATACTTGAATACTTTCATTTTTTGTCCCCTTCATTTCTTCCTTATAGGGAACAGTTATTGTATCATTACTTAAAGAAATAAATTATCTTAACTCTTTTTTGCAGGCTGTTGCTTTTCCCTGCATGGAGTTCGACTAAATCTTTCTGTTATACTGATAGTAAATGCCAGTGTATAGTTATAAAATAATTAGTTTTTTTCTCCTCTTCTATCATAATTCAAATGTGATAGGACAAGAAATCTTATCATTTCTACCTCTACAACATCTCTCACATCCTTCCCTGTTCTCCACTCATATGATCCTTCTCTAGTTCAGGCTCTTATCACCTCTTTCCCAGACTATTGCAATAGCTTTCTAATTGTTCTCCTTTCCTCAAGTGTCTGCCCACTCTAATCCATCTTCCATGTAGGTCTGCCCATATCACTCCTCTAGTCAATAAACTCTACTTGCTGCCTATTACATCTAGGTTGAAATAAAACTCCTCTGTTTGGCATTTAAAGCCTGTCAGAATGTCTTTAATCTATCCTTCTTGGATTATCATTCCCATTCATACATACATGTAGAGTTCTAGTCATTTTCCTGAAGAGCAAATCTGATCATTTCATTTCTCTATTTCGATAAGCTCCAATGTCTGGATTTAAAGTTACAATTTAACTATAACCTACCTTCTGGACTTCTTGCTCTTTTTTCTCCTCTGTGAGTACTGAGGTCTGGCCAAACTGGCCTTCTTGCTGTAATGAGGCAGTTACACAGTGTAGTGTATCGAGACCTGGAGACAAGAAGATCTGAGCTCAGATGTGACGCTTATTAGCTGTGTGACCCTGGGTAAGTCACTTAACCTCTGCCTGCCTTAGTTTCCTCAAACTGTAAAACAGGGGTAATAATAAAACCTATCTCTCAGGGTTGTTGTGAGGATCAAATGAGATAATATTTAACACAATGACTTGCATGTAGTAGGTACTTAATAAATGCATATTCCCTCCCCCTGTGTCATACATAGCACTCCATCTTTTGACTCTCTACTAGTATGTCTTTCATACATACACCCTCTTCAACTTGGTCTCAGAATCCCTAATTTCTCTTAAGGCTCATCTCAGGTGCATTCCCCTTTATATGAGGGTGATTCCCTCCCCCTCCCTGGTGCTACTGCCTCCTCCTCAAATCACATTGTATCTCTTTTGTCCATCCATTCATCCATCCATCCATAAACATAAACATGTACACATAATATATTTAAAAATATACATACAATACACACGTCTCCTCTGGGTAGACAGCAAGTACCTTGAAGTCTACAGTTTTCACTTTGCTTTTATGTCCTTAGTATCTAGCACAGGTGCCTAATAAATGTTTGTTGATTGATTTATTGACTAATGAATATATATCTGCCATTAGTCAAAGATCTCTCAAATTCAATTATGTGTGCATGGTTCTAGGTTTCTCCTGTTCTCCTATCTATATTTGGAATTATTTTCCAGCAATTGTGATTTTGTTTTTTTTTAGTTGAGTTTAATAAATGTTTTATTGATATTTTCTGTTTTTACATCACATTCATTTCTGAATTTTTTTTGCTGTACCACACCCAGAAAACCTTCTCTCATAAGAAAGACAAGAACAAAAATAGTTCAGCAAAACCAACCAAAATGTTGACTACATTTCACAGCATGTACAACATTCTTTACTCATACTTCCCCACCACTGTGGTAAAAGGAGTGAGGTGCATTGTCTTATCTTTTCTCCAGGGCTAAGATTGGTTATTTTAAAAAGATAAAGCATTCATTTTCATTTTATTGTTCTTCACATTTATGTTGTTTTAATTATTATGTATATTGTTTTTCTGCTTCTGCTCACTTTGTTCTGCCTTAGTCTATATGTCTTCCCACATTTCTGAAGTCTTCGTATTTGTGATTTTTAATAACACATTAATATCTTATTACACCCATGTTCCACATTTTGTTTAGCTGTTTTCCAATCAATGGGCACCCATTTACAAGTGGAGTCTTGATTTTTATATCCCCTCACCAAATCATTAAGGAAAATGAAGAATGTGATTCATAATGCTAGGAATGACCCAGCAATGAAGCACAGCATGACTCCCATTGATTTTTGACATTGATCCATTAATCCTTATTCTGTACTCCAGACATTTCTTGAAAAAACAATTTACTTTTCTTTTTACAAAAGTTTCCTCAGATCTTCAAGTCTCTGCTGGCTCAATTGGTAGCCTGTTAAGTCAGGAAGCACATGTTAAATTTCTAATAATAATTAAGCTTTCCATGTTACCATCATCATTTTCTTATTTGTCAGGTTTTCAGAATATATAAGATGCTTCAAAAATATGGAAGATAGAATTAGTTTTAAATTAGAATAGAATTTAATTCTGGCCCCACATCTGTGAGGGAGTAGGTAGAAAAGAGTATTTTAAAACTATAGAATGAAGCCTTTGATACTTCTTGAATGAAAAGAGGATGATGTTTCCCCCTTCAAATTGTGTGCTCCTTTCACCTCATTGCATTGCTTCCCTGTTGTGTAGAAGTACAATTCAGGAATTTTTATTGAAAATAGCAGCTGGGGTATTCTCCGGGACAGCATAAAGATGATTCTACATGCATTTTAATAATGATGATTATGATGATGATGATGATGATGGTGATGATGATGATGATGATGATGATGACGATATAAGGAGTATGTGGTGTGTGGGTGCTGTTTTGTTTTTGTCCATGTAGGTTATGTGTGCCC